CCATCTCTACAAATTATGTCTCTGCATATAGTTTGTAAAGATTGACTCGGGTTGCAGGACTTAGTGAATATTCAGTGAGTTTCTCCCTTTTTTAAAACCTTAATTAAAAAATGTTTGCTCCACTTGCTTAGCCTGCAAAAAGGGAGAGCACGACATGAGGGGGAGCCATGAGGGCGCACTCACCTCCATCAAGGCCTGCCCGGCTCCTCACCGCCGCTCCACTTCCAAAGGAAGGTCCCCTCACAGGCGCTCACCTGGCTCCGGGAGAAGGCCGCGAGGAGGGAGGTAATGGCTGCTTTCCACGGGCCAAGACAAAGGGAGGCAAGGGATGGGGCCATGGCCAGCCAAGCGGGGTGCCTCCCACATTTCACATTTCCCTGCCACAGGGGGAAGAAGCATGGTGGCCACTTGATGACAGCGGTGGCTTGCCCTGAGAAGGCCACAGCGCAACCCGGGGACGTGGCTCATATTTTGTGGTTAATAAAAATAAATGGATTAACCTTATTACATTGAATGTTACGGAGAAATTTGATTAGTTCACAACCAATTTGGTTCACGACCAGAATCGTAGAACAAATTAAGTCTATGAACTGAGGAAATAAAATAAATCTGACACAGAAATATTCATTAATAAAAGTATTATATAGTTGAAAATATATTTATATTTTTATTTATATTTATATTTATTTTTCTTACCTTCTGTCTTTTTTTAGTGTCTTCGTCTCTCTCTCTCTCTTCCTACTGCCCTCTTCTCTTCTGTATTCCTGCTTCATATTCCTACTCTGTATTCAGAGCCAACGCATGCATGCAATAGGAGGAAGAGCTGGTGCGTGCGCAATTCACGCTAGCAAGAGCAGCACAGCAGCAGGAGCTAGCCAGAGCAAGCAGAGAGAGTTGGTGCATGTGCAGTTGAAGGGAGCTGTTACAATTTGGTGCTTGCGCTGGCTCTCTGCTATTCTCCGAAACTGAAAGAGTTTCAGAGTACACCTGCACCAGCTCAGAGCTTTTAGACTCGTTCGGAGATCGTTTTCTTCAAATGAGTCCAAAAGCTCTGAGGCAGGCCAGATAAATGACCTTGATAGACCATAGTTTGAGGACCCCTTGCCTATAGGGCAAGGTGTTTGAGTAGGTGATGGCTGAACAGCTCCAGGCACTCTTGGATGAAACTGATCATCTGGTTCCTTTCAATTGGGCTTGAGGCCTGGCTTTGGAATGGAGATTGCCTTCGTTGCCTCTGGGATGATCTTTGCCATAAGAAAGACAGGATTGTGACCCTGTTGGTTATCCTGTACCTCTTAGCAGCTTTTGATACCATCAACCATTGCATCCTTCTTGATAGGCTGGTTGGTTTGGGAGTTGGAGACATTGCTCTGTAGTGGTTCTGCACCTTCTTGACTGGCCAAGATGGTGCTTTGGGGGATTACTGTTCTGTGCTGTGGTAGTTATGCAATGGGATACCACAGGGCTCTGTTGTATCCCCTGTGCTATTTAAAATCTACATGAAACAGCTGGAGTACATTAACTGGAGGTGTCAGCTGAGATGTCTCTAGTATGCTGATAACACTCAGCTATACCTCTGTTTTTCATCTGATCTAGGTGAGGCTGTGCCCATTCTGAATCAGTGTCTGGGCTTGATAATGGATTGGATAAGGGCCAATAAACTGAGGCTTAATCTAGATAAGATGGAGGTTCCGTTGGTGGGAGATCATCTGTCCAATTGGGTGACATTAAATCTATTCTGGATGGGGTTGCAGTTTCCCTAACAGAGTTCCTAGTTTAGGGGTGCTTCTGGACCCTGAACTGTCATTGGAGTCACAGACTGACCTGCTGGCCCCAAACCCCTTCTGTCAGCTCAGACTGATTCATCAGTGATGACTCTACCTAGACAGGAAGTGCCTCGCGACACTGTTTTATGCTCTGGTAAATCCTCACTTGGTTATTGTAATGTCCTCTGTCTGCGGCTGGCTTTGAAGTTGGTTCAATAGGTCCAGAACAAAGCAGCAAGGCTGCTGACAGAATTGACCAGTATGACCATATTGTGCCAGTCCTCTTTCAACTTCACTGGTTACCAACTGAAAACGAGGCTCGATTCAAAGTACTTACATTTATATTTAAAGCCCTAAACAGCTTGAGTCCAGGTTATCTAAAGGATCACCACTTCCCTTATATGCCTACCCAGACCCTGCAGTCATCCTTTGAGGTCCCTCTCAAGAGAGTCACCTTTAAAGGAAATAAAGGATGTGGCTACTAGGGGAACGGCCTTTTTGGCAGTGGTACACCGACTGTGGGATCAGCTCCCCAAGGAGGTGTGCCTGGTACCCACTCTATTTTATTTTAATACATTGTTTGTTGTTTATTTGCACATTTTGATTGTGTAAACCACCCAGAGAGTCATTGAAATAAAATAAAACAGACAGACAGATAAATAAATAATAAAATCAGAAGTTTGTGCTTCAGTTGAATATGTTTCCTTCAGATTGTACATATCTGAAGCACTTAAAATAATATTGCTGAAAATGAATACAAACAAGTCCATTACTTGAAATTATACACTATGGTTTGAGTGCTTGAGTACTGTCAATTCTAATGCAGAAACAAGGTAAAACAATCAATGTTTGTCCCTTTCACAGGAAGAACAAGTGACAAGGGAGAATTTTGATTCTAATAAAAATGTCAGGCATCATTGATCATATTGACTAGCAGAACTGTAGCAAATTACAGAATATTTTACTTTACAGCCTGAACAACCTGTCCAGATCAGAGGGTTGAATAAATGAGTGTTTTAGTCCCATAGCACAATGGTACAATTGGGATACCTGTGGTTGCAAAATCTGACCAATAATGTGATTAAAATAATTTCTGTGCACAAGGAAAAAGATTCATCCTTACAGCCTTCAATGTAAGTTACACAGTTGCAATAGAATAGCTGAGTGATCGATCCACTTGTATTCAGTAAATTCTCACTTTGTCACCAAAATGGAAAAAGAGATTATTACCCAAGAAGACTTGCACCTTTAAAAAAAAGGTTGCTCTTCATTTGTAAAATATGTTGTACTCTATGAAACATTGATTTGTTGTTGTTGTTAGTCATGAAGTCGTGTCTGACCCGTCGCAACCCCATGAGCAGCATTCTTCCAGGCCTTCCTGTCCTCCACCATCCCCCAGAATCCACTTAAGCTCACACCAACTGCTTCAGTGACTCCATCCAGCCACCTCATTCTCTGCCATCCCCTCCTTCTTTTGCCATCTATTGTGCCCAGCATTAGGCTCTTCTCCAGGGAGTCCTTCCTTCTCATTAGGTGGCTAAGGTATTTGAGTTTCATCTTCAGTATCTGGCATTCTAAAGAGCAGTCAGGATTGATCTCCTCTAGGTCTGACCAGTTTGATCACCTTGCAGTCCGAAGGACTCGCAGGAGTCTCCTCCAGCACCACAATTGAAAGACCTCAATCCTTTGATGCTCAGCCTTCCTTATGGTCTAGCTTTCACAGCCATACATTGCAACTGGGAAAACCATAGCCTTGACTATATGCACTTTTGTTGGCAGGGTGATGCCTCTGCTTTTTAGTATGCTGTCTAGATTTGCCATAGCTTTCCTCCCCAGGAACAAGCGTCTTTTAATTTCTTGGCTGCAGTCCCCATCTGCGGTGATCTTGGAGCCCAGGAAAATAAAATCTGTCACTACCTCCATTTCTTCCCTATCTATTTGCCAGGAGAAACATTGATAGAAGTGTGATAAACATACTGTTATATCCCAACCTAGTAATCTCAAGAATGTCTTGCTGAAAACAACCCAGCTTCATAGCTTATTTCAAGCAGCCCTTAGTTCAGATTAAGTAGTGGCTGTCAGGTTAACTGTTGTTTATCAAAGATAAAAATGTAAGCTTCCCCTTACCCCATATTTGACGCATGCTGCTGCTTCTTCGCATCATAATAAACTATGGTTTCATGATGTGATTATTTTAAACAGTCCTGAAGTAAGTAAGCAGCATGGTCTGAAAATGAATTTTATGTAAACCATGGGGCTGGTAGGTAGCTAAAAGTTAGTTCAAAAAATACAGTTAACAATTCAAAATGAAAATGTGGATCAGGTTGATAAATATAAACTTCTTGGAATTTAGTTGAATGAATAGAGAGCTCATAATAATGTAATAAAAGTCAGAATTGAGATAACCTGGAGTATTTTAAGATAAAAATATAATATGTAACAACAAAATTAGTCTTGAGAATGTGCATTGTACAGTTTCATTTATTTTTAGTTCTACTGTATGGCATAGCAGCATGGACTTAGAACAAAATGACATAATAAAAATAGAAACATTTGAAATGTGGATTTGTTGAGGATGTGCAGCAAAGAAATACTAAGGAGAGTTACATAAAAGATCAAAATTACCGTATTTTTCCTTCTATAAGACGTGCCTGACCATAAGAAGCACCTAGTTTTTAGAGGAGGAAAACAAGAAAAAAATATTCTGAATCAAATGGGCACATAATCACAGGCACATTCCCCATCACTTCCCCATGGGCTGCACGTCTGACAGACTTACTGCACACACATATTCACTCTATAAGACGCACAGACATTTCCCCTTACTTTTGAGGGGGAAAAAAGTGCGTCTTATAGAGCAGAAGATACAGTATATAACACACAAAATGTAGGAAACTAGAATATTTTGGTTATATACTGAGAAATGAAAAACAAAGACTTTTGCAGCTGATTATAGAAAGTAAAATAAGTGGGAAAAGATGTGTTGTAGGAAGAAGGAGGTTTTGACTGAAAACCCTGAAAGAATGGGCTAGGGGCAATAGAATATCATAGGACCATATCTAAAGACAGTTTAACCATGACGATATGCACTTCCAGTAGGAAAGGAGAAGTCATGCTAGTATCAAGATGTCTGGACTAGCTGTATGTTTTGAGATAAGTAGTTCTACCAAACATTTATTTTGATAATTTTTGCCATGGTGAGTAAATTACAAAATTATTTTCTTTCACCTTCAGTCCTCAGGCACCACCTCCACCTGAACCATCTTGGGAAGAAAGGCAAACAAATGTTATCCATCTTGCAGGAGAAGACTTTAGGGAATCTTTGAAGAAGAAGAAGCACGCCCTTGTAATGTTCTATGCCCCATGTGAGTAAATGTGTTCTTTGTTTGCATGCTTAGAGGTCATCCTTATATTAGGGACTAACTGGAAAGGAGAAATAGCTCTTTCATGCTTTTCCATCAAACTGGACTTGAGTGCCTTCTATTAAATAAGTGGCCACAGCTCAGTAGTAGAGCCCATGGCTGTTTTCAGAAAGTTCCAGGCTCATTATTTTACGTTTCTGGTTTTTCGGCGCCAGGTAAAGACCTTTTTATTTAAACATCATTTCAATTGTTAAAACATATGATCTGGCCAGGGCAACTTCTTCTTCCTTCTCTTTCTCCTCCTATATTTTTATTTTATACTGATAATTTTAATTTTATATTTGTAAATCAATGTATTTTTTGTATTTTTGTATTTAATGGTAGTTTATTATGTACTATTGTATTTCAATGTATTTTATCATGTTGTAAGCCGCCCCGAGGTTTCGGCAAGGGGCGGCATAGGAATGTTATAATAATAATAATAATAAAAAAATTATTTGCCATTCCCTGTTAAAGAATCTCATTCACGCAAACATGAATAGAAGGCCACTGCAAAGCCTTCTGTTCAGTGCAGGAAGGCTGGGAATTGAGATGGGGGGAGCTGGCACACATGGGAATATAGAGGGTTGGGCCATCATGCACAGCTTTATTTTTCACACCAGAGATGGGCATTATATTGGCCTCCAGACATGCTGGTCTACAGTTCCCATTAGCCCTTGTCAGAAAAGCCAGTGGTGAAGGACAATGGAAACTGTAGACCAAAACGTATAGTGGCCATAAGTTGCTACCCCGCCCTACACAGTTTAGTTGCCACATGTTCTATTATGCCTAAACAGGGCTTAGAATACTCTTCCTTAATTCCAGCAAGACTATTCTAAAGAAAGTGTTATGTTTATTAGCAATCTTACCATGAATATTGAAATGGGTCATCATAATTAAAAAGTGGGCTGTTGTTGGTTGAATATATTTCTCAATCCCTTTGAGATAAATGACTTGACTTCTGATCTACACTTAGTCATGTATATGCATTTAATTAAGAGTTCTGAGTAACTCTATGATTAATGTATTTATGCATACTGGAATATAATTTCCTGTGTTCAGAGATTCTGCATGTTCAGTTTTGTCTCAGATAAATGTGAGAATCTGTGTGGTACCTTTGATATATAATGCGCTCATAGTCACTAGCCTCTTCTTAATCAAGCACTGTAGGAAGTAACTACTGAATATTTTACATCTCTGCTTGCAGTGAGATAATTATTAGGGAAACAGAAGTAGTACAAATCATTGTGTACTGAGACTGTTCCTTTTCTGCACCAGTTATGTGCCTTCTGTTTAAATTTGATCAATTATCTTTATTGCTTTCTCAAGCTTGGGACCTCTTAGGGTTTTTATGCTTACCAATTACCACTAACTTGCTTATTTTAGTGCAGAAGGAAAACCACTAAGATTGGCAAACTGTTTTCTTTCAAATAATTATGTTTTTCCATTCAGAGCCACATCCCAGGTCAGTGGTGCTCCTCAGATAAAGTCACCATACTGAGTTCAGGAAAGAGCTCCAAACATCTTTTATGATTAGGTTGCTTTTGGATCTGGAAAGTTCAGATCAGCTGCTTGATACTTTTTTATGCATTTGGTTTAGTTAAGCTATAAATTCTGCACAGATGCTACTGCACCTGGCAAATCCCCATAAGTAGCTGATGAGAAGTATAACATGCAAAGTTCAGGATTCATGAAAGATCCCAATGGCTGCTTAAGAAAAATGCATATCGCCATTTTTGTAATCAAAGAAGTACCTTCTGCATTCTTCTATTACAGGTGTGGTCCTACAACAAATTGCTATAGGGGCAGTGGGTGTAAGCTTGTGGGGACTCCAAGGGATGGTGGAGGACAGGAGAGCCTGGAGGAATGTTGCCCATGGAGTCATGATGGGTCAGGCACGACTTTGCAACTAAGAACAGCAACATTCCACTTTTGGCTTTCTCTCTCCTTTACTCGCATCTCACAATTTACAGTTAATATTTAGTACCCAGCCAGTGATTAGTCTCAGACAGCATGACTCAAAGACTGATTGAGTTGCTGTTGAAACATGGGTTACTCAGTTGTCTGAACCCAGGCACATAATACGCCAAGGTCTGTTAACCACAAACAACCCACAGTTCACAGCCTAGCAATAAACCATGAATTCCTTTGTTTGGGGTTCAACCTGGTTTGTTACATAGCTGGATTCAGGCAACATGATTACCCATGGTTCAGCAGTCTTGGAGTGTAGGATATGTTGATATCTGAACTCAATACATTCAATCTTCATTTGCCTCTTTCTCTATTTCAGAGTGCTTCCTTTCCTTTCCTTTCCTTTCCTTTCCTTTCCTTTCCTTTCCTTTCCTTTCGGCAAAGGTGAAATAGGCATTACTGATGTCCAGTCACAGCTACATTAACATTTTGGATTATTTCCATTAAATTCTGTTTCTGGACATCTAAAAATATCTTATTAGTATAAGACAAGGAATGACCCAGTGATGGCAAACCTTTTAGAGACCGAGTACCTAAAGTACAACCTAAAACCCACATATTTATTGCAAAGTGCCAAAACTACAATAAAACCTGAAAACTGAGCTTTTAGTTTAGAAAAAAGTCTAAAAGACCTCACAGCCAGTCTAAGTAAATATATATTTATCCTTGGCAGCGCACTGAATGGCCATGCAAAAGCTCGGATGAGTCGTGGCTAATGAGTCGCAGCTTGTTACATCATCGCCTGGCGCTGCTACTCCTTTCCAAGCATGTGCATGGCCCCTATGTGCGCTGTTATTCAGTGCTCAGTTGCTGGGGTGATGCTGCGGCAACTTGGTTTATATGTCGACAGGAAGAGCTCTGCTTGCCCACTGTGGAACATGTGTCAGAGGTCCGCCACCACTGCCCTAACCCTACCCTGGTACACTCCCCTAACCCTAATATAGGGGTAAAGTTCCATGGAAAAGAGGGCCATTTTGAAAAAGCATTCCTTGAGTAGCTTTTTCTGCACAGCTCCACATTTCTGCCCATTCTAAACACATTCCAACCATCAAAACCATGTCAGGACACCTTGTTTTTCTCACCCTAACCCAGTGATGGTGAACCTTTTAGAGACCAAGTGCCCAAACTGCAACCCAGAACCCACATATTTATCACAAAGTTCCAACACTACAATAAAACCTGAAAACTGATGTTTTAGTTTAGAAAAAACAGCTTGAAGCCAGTCCAAGCAAATATATATATATATATATATATCCTTGGCAGCGCACTGACCAGCCATGTGAAAGCTTGGACAAGTTGTGGCTAATGAGTCGCGGCTCATGACATCATTGCCTGGCGCCGCTGCTCCTTCCCGAGCATGCGCATGGCCCCTATGTGCACTGTTATCCGATGCTTGGCTGCTGGAGCGATGCGGCAACTTGGCTTGCATGCCGACAGGGAGGGCTCTGCTTGCCCACTGTGGCACGCGTGCCATAGGTTCTCCACCACTGACCTATCCAGTCAATAAGATGGTTCTCCAAGGCCTTTATGTATTTTTGTCTCTTCCTGGTAAGCTTTTCTTCCCCTAGCATTTTTTAACCTCTGCAAACCCTCAGCTTACATAAACATGAGCATTTGAAAAACTGAATCAAAAATAGAGCAAATGACATGGAATAACAAAATAAGAAAAAATGAAATATAAAATCAACATTGGCCATAATAGACCCTTCAGAAGCCATAGTCCTTTTTTTTTCTTTTTCTTTCGCTTTGGTAGATAAGAAGAAGATTCTAGATCAGAGGTAGGGGTGGTCAACCCCATTGCCTTGCATATGTTTAGATATAAAATTCCCCTAAACTCCAGCCAACAAGGCTGACTTGCAGTGACTTAGGAGAGATGTGGTTCGAAACATCTGAAGGACACCAGATTGTCTACCTTTTTCCTAGATAGTGTCATACAGATGTTATAAAGATCACCTCCTTTCTCCTCAGAGTGTAAAATACACAGTTGCTCAAAGATGATGGACAAATCCCTGGCTTCTTTTCTCCTGCAATTTGTGATATCTTTACCTTGAATAATAGATGGATGAGAAAGTTTGCTTATGTTCATTTGCCTCAGCCATCTGAATATTGCATGTTGCCACAAATGCAGTGAACATTTATCCAGAACATGAAAATTTTAGTCTTTACAAGTTAAATAATGAGGAGCACAGGATCTCTCTTTTTTTCTTCCCCCTTTCCCTTCTGGGGACTCACAAGATAGAATTTGGTTTCCTGAGTTGGACAAAATGTGCATCTCTCTCCCCCCACCCCCATAAACATTTGGGTAAAGGGTGGCGGCCGTGCGTGTTGCCTTGTTAGGGAATTGAGGAAAGCTTCAAGAGGAAGGAAGGCAAGTTTTTGTAAAGGAGGAGGAGGCGTTGGTATTGTTGTTGATGTTGTTAATATTATTTTGATGGTGATGGTGAAGCTGAACAGCTATATGGTTCCTTAAGTGGATGCACAGTAATTTAAAAAACCATAAAGCAATAAAACAACATAACATATTAGAACATTAAAACAAATACCTAATTTTACATTTGAAAGCTGTGTCTTCATACCCTTTCTAAAGGGTGGGTCCAATTCTAGTTCTTAAGCAAGTACATGTCACACGAATGGACCTCTGCAGGGAATGGTGTCCAGGGTTTGGAAACATTGCCCTATGAGGAGAGACTGAGCTGGGCATGTTCAGCCTTGAGAAGCAAAGACTGAGGGGGGACATGATATCCCTGTATAAGTGCCACAAAGGCTGTCACAAAGAGGAAGGTCAAGATCTCTTCTTGCTGATGCCAGATGTAGGACATGAAATAAACAATTCAAGTTATGACAACCCAGATTCAGGCTGGACATAAGGAAAAGCTTCCTCACTGTCCGAGTAATACAACAGTGGAACCAGCTGCCTAGAGAGGAGGTAGGCTCTCCCACACTAGAGACATTCAGAAAGAAACTGGACAGTCATCTGAGTGGGATGGTGTAAC